CCACTTCTTTTGTCAAAGGATAACAATGTTCCAGAAGAAGGAAATTGGAGAAAATCAAGACCCCACGATTCTCCCGAATCTTCACCTTGCCCACAAGTCTTTAGCTATTTACTGGAACTTTTCCACAGGCACCCAAAGCCAAACTCCAACACCCAAGCTTGGCACTACCAGTCAAATCTAAAACGAGGTCCCTCAGGCTACTACTCTGAGCTGGAATGCGAATCTATGGAGCAAAACCTTGGGATCCCCATCACTCAAGGCCCTGAAAACTGATGCCAGGCCTTCTTTCTTCCCATGTGAAATTATATTTCTTGTGTGAGGCCGTTCTGGCATTGCTATAAAGAAAAACCTGCCGGGCGCGGTGGCTCAAGCCTGTAATCCCAGCACTTTGGGAGGCCGAGACGGGCGGATCACGAGGTCAGGAGATCGAGACCATCCTGGCTAACACGGTGAAACCCCGTCTCTACTAAAAAAACTAGCCGGGCGAGGTGGCGGGCGCCTGTAGTCCCAGCTACTCGGGAGGCTGAGGCAGGAGAATGGCGTGAACCCGGGAGGCGGAGCTTGCAGTGAGCTGAGATCCGGCCACAGCACTCCAGCCTGGGCGACAGAGCGAGACTCCGTCTCAAAAAAAAAAAAAAAAAAAAAAGAAAAACCTGAGACTGGGTTATTTATAAGAATAGAGGTTTAATTGGCTTATGGTTCTGCAGGCTGTACAGTACGAATAGTGCCTGCATCTGCTTCTGAGGAGGCCTCAGGAAGCTTTCACTCTTGGCAGAAGGCAAAGCCGGAGCAGGTGCTTCATAGGGCAAAAGCAAGAGCAAGAGAGAGAGTGGCAGGGGGCGGGTGCCACACACTTTTAAATGACCAGATCTTGTGACAACTCACTATCGCAAAGACAGCACCAAGTCATGAGGGATCCACCCCTGTGACCCAGACACCTTGTTGGGGGGCAGAGCTCCAGCACTGGGGATTAAAATTCAACATGAGATTAGGGTGGGGACAAATATCCAAACTATACCATTTCTTAGCTCTCTGATGTTATTTTTAAGTGTTCTTTCATTAAAATAGCCACAATTGTTTCTTCTTGATTTAGGATTCTTATCTCAGGTGTTGTTGATATCCTGAATCAATGGAAAACAAATAGGCCATGTAATGGCTGAGATTTTTATTTATCTATTTTGCATTTCCAGCTTTGAGAATTCATGTGAGTGGCTCCACCATAGCCATTCTGAAGAGAACTGAGTGCCAGTTCCTGTATGAAGTGAGAGGAGAAACGTACTTAAAGGTAAGGAGTCCACAGAGACAATACATGGAAAAAGCTCTCAGACACGCTTGGGCCACCTCCTTTGAGCCTTGGCCAGGAAAGTTGAGGAGCATGCTCATCCTTTTCTGTACTCGTCACAGTGAGCACCCTCCATCCTCTGCAAGAGAAATGACCACCAAAAAATGTGAACTCAGAATTTTCCTTTACTCCAAAGAGCCCTTTTGACATTCTGAACTCTGCCACCATTTCCCCTGCCATATCCAGGTTTTGTCTGCAGTTCCTCCTCCAAACACAAGAGCTACATACTGTCTGGTCCAGGACTTATTTAATTTAAATCAAAACCCTTGTTCCCCCACTTACTTCCCTACTCTTACTACACAACGCTGCTATGATCTGAGGTCACCTCTCTTGCCTGTTGCTTTACTATTCTGAAGCTCTAGAATCACAAGGAGTGAATGACAAGGTGTGGCCCCATTCTCCTCCTCCTCCTCATCTGGAAGTTTGTTAAAATGCAGATGTCTGGACACTTCACCAGGCCTGCTATGCAAGATTCTCTGTGGGTGTAGATCAGGAATCTATATTTTTAACAAGATGATGTGTTTTTTAACAAGATGACCACACTAATATTTGAGAATCACTACTCTAGCGTCTTCATGCAGTTCCTCACATTTAAAACAGCTGCCCTCCAAAGCCATCAGATGTCTCCAGTTGCTTCTCAGGCTGCTTTTCCAAAGTTATTACAATCTTTTCACAACTGGCAAAGCAACTATTAACTGTAAGTTACCTGCCTCCAGTAGCCATAGTGCTTCTGGCCTTTGTATTTTGATTGCACCTTGGAAAAGTCTCCTTTTATGTAAGTGTCCTAACATCATCACACTTGCTTTTTGAGTCCTCCATAGATACATTTTTTACAAAGAACATTTACCCCAAAATAGAACCGGTTTATGGATTACTATGGTCCAAACACAGCCAATGAACCACTATTTTTTTAAATGAGTTTAATAATATATAACAGTTATATATATCATTCATTTTTAAATTATTGATCTATATTACAGATATATATTATTACACTTTTTTTTTAAATAATGGTTCACTGGCTGTGTTTGGACAGTATGTATTTTGTATCTCTTTTTCAAATACCAGCTTTAGCAAAAACAGAGTTTCCAGTATTCCAGTAAATTTCCATACATTCCGTAGCCTCCAGATGGACCCCACAAATGCCACTTAATGAGTTCTTAATTGTGCTGTACATGTGTTTGTAATAAGATAGGGAAACTGTAGCAAAAGTTTTGTGACAAAACTTTATTGAAAAAAAGGCTAGAAGGAAATATGGACAATGACAAGCAGTTGGATTTGTTGACGTAGCAGAATTGCAGATGAATTTTCTTCCTTTTTAAGTTAGAGTTCTTGTGATGTTGCTAGAGTGATATTTTAAAATGTCTTTTGGGGAAAAAAAAGAAAACTCTACTTTAAGAAAAGGATGTCTGCTGAATGAGAAACTTATTTTTAAAAAGGCACTTGGAAATAAAAATCTGTCTAGAGATAATGCAAATCGTAACAGGAATGTGTGATGTGCTTACATATTGGCACTGATGAGAAATGCGGAAGTGAAACGTGGCATGGAAACAGATCACGATGGGAACAGTGGTCTACAGCTGAACTGACTCATTGGCCTCCGTGGTACCTAACTCTTTTGTCTTATCAGGGAAGGGGAAATGAGACTACCTACTGGCTGACCGGGATGAAGGACCAGAAATTCAACCTGCCAACCCCTCCTACTGTGTAAGCTTCTGGGTGTGGCAGGGACAGGGAGGAAATCAGAGATCTTGGCTTTGTAAGTTACGCTACTTAAAGCCAATTTAAGTTGGCAAGTGCCTTACAAGTGGCATATATTGCATAAGAAGGGACTATATATGAGAAGGTTTAGAAACCTCCCTTCTTAGACTGCAAGAAGAGAATTATCCTGAAAGCCTGCATTTTCCTGAGACCTCAATGACAACAGGAAAGTATTTAGCCTTGGCTTCCCCGTCTGGAACACAGACCTTGCTTCCATGAATCAGATGTGTCGTCTCAGTATAAAACTACCTTTTTTTTTTTTTTTAAAGCTCTGGATCCTTTATCCCAAGAAGGAGCTTCCACCTGGAAAAGAGGAGGAATGAACAGACTATTTAGAACTTGAGGAGATTTTGTTATTTCATTTGTTTCATTTTGTTTACTGGCTCTGTATTCATGATATTTTTAACTGTCAAAATTATGTTTTAAATGTCTTATCTCCATTCAAGTATACTTACAGTTTATGCAGAAAATATACTATATATTAGACAAGAACGAGTTAAAAGTTTCCTGAGTCTGGGTAGGAGCTTCTACCTATTCTGCCCACTTTCCTAGACTGTACCAGTCATCATTTTGTCCCTGCTGAAAACCTGACTATATTGCCCTGCAATAAAGCAATGGCAAAGCTAGCATTGTGTTCCAGGCTCGCTCGGGAGAACAGAAGACACTTTAGAGTTCACCTCATGCGTGTCTGGTTCTCACAGGAGTGGAGCACGCTGGGGGCAAAGAGGCTCTCTGCATTCCACTCCTGTCTTCATCTTTCTGTTGAGTTGCCTAATGAAAACAGGACCTGCCTCAGCCCCAAGACTGTGGTTCTGGGTCTTAACATGAAGTCTGTGTTCTCCGAGATGAGGAAGACAAAGTTTCAGGGTTAACTGACAGGTTTCAGTTCTCCTAAAGATGACTCAAGTTGTCATCCAGTTGCCTATCAATACATGTTACTGCAACCATATGGCCATTTCCTTGGCTTTTGCTGTGGTTGAGAAACTCTGTCTTGCAGAGGCCTAGATGGCAGACCCAGAGAGATGGCAAGCTTCTAGAAAAGCCAAAACAAGCCAAATCTTCCCTGGGACATGAGAAACCTAGCTCCTTACTTGGAGTGTCCCAAATCCATTCTAAACTCGTGGCCCCCTCCACCATTCTAAGCCTTCCCCAAACAAAACTCACACTGTGAAGTATGTGTGGGACCAATGAGTTTTCAGGGTTCTGTGGCAGGGGCCGAGCATCCTCCCTGCTTCTTTTCCCCTTCCTGCAGTGGCATATGTAAACCTAGATCGTCCCAACCATGCCTCCAAATTCCAGCAGCAGATCGTTTCACTTTGAAATTGAAGTCTAATTTCCTAGCAGAGATAACAGATTTTTAAGCTCATCAAAGGCAGGGATCATTTCGTATTCTTTGGATTTCCTGTGTCTAGCACAGAATAGGCATTCAAAGAGTAACTGAGGAACTGAACTGATTATTCTGGAGCTAAGGAATATTCTGTATGAATTGCTGAGAAGTTCTATTTTCTCTTCCCACCCTGTTTGCAGGGAGAATCAACAGCGTTTGCAAGCGGAATTTTCAGACATGATTGCCAACTCCTTACAGAAAAGACAGGCAGCAGGGATAAGAAGCCAAAAACCCAGACGAGTAGCCAGCTATAAAAAAGGCACTCTGGAATACTTGCAACTGAATACCACGGACAAGGAGAGCACCTATTTTTAAACCTAAATGAGGTGTAAGGACTCACGCAAATTAAAATACAGCTGCACGGAGGCAGCGACCTCAAGTGTCTTGAAAGCCTGCATTTTCCTGAGACCTCAGTGAAGCAGAAATGTACTCAGGCTTGGCTGCCCTGTCTGGAACATGGACTTTTTGCATGAATCAGATGTGTGTTCTCAGTGAAATACTTACCTTCCACTCTGGAGCCTCATTCCAGCAGTTGTTCCAGGCAGCTTCCACCTGGAAAAGAAAAGAAATGAATAGACTATCTAGAACTTGAGAAGATTTTATTCTTATTTCATTTATTTTTTGTTTGTTTGTTTTTATTGTTTTTGTTTACTGGCTCTTTTTCCTTCTGTATTCATAAGATTTTTTAAATTGTCATAATTATATTTTAAATACCTTATCTTCATTAAAGTATATTTAACTCATAATTTTTGCAGAAAATATGCTCTATATTAGGAAAGAATAAAAGCTAAAGGTTTCCCAAGACTGTGTATGCGTTTCTACCTATTTTGCCCATTTTCCTGGAATACATCAGTCCCATCATCTTGCGCTTACTGAAAAACTGACTACATTCACTCACCTTGAAGTATGGCAAAGCTCGCATTGTTACTCAAGGGTGAGAACGTTGAAGGTTAGCATCACCTGCTACACGTGAGGGAATTTCTGACCTTTAAACAGAGGTGTTGCTTCAGCTTGTCCAATTAACAATGTGGATGGCAGTGATCTAAGTATGGGACCAAGGCAAAAGTCAAGTTCCTGTACCGTACTTTTCTAACTATAAAGTAATCCATGTCTCCAAGCTCCTGATCTTTCATCAGTAAATTATGAATCTTAATACCCACTTCATTTTAGACTGTGCCACCCCCAAGCTGGCGTAACACCACTCACAGATAATTTCCTTAGACCCACAGTTTACAAGGTAAAAGGAGAAAATTGGAGATGGAAGTTTGATCTCCCCACCAGTCTGAGAATCTTCACAAGAAGCTCACTCTGGTCCTGTCTCATGAACCACTGTGAGTACCAGGTAGGCTGAAACACCAGAGGTGAACTGGGGACGAAAAGCGGAGGTGCTGATTGCTGAAACTGACATGCAGACCTTGCAGCTGCTCTGCTCCAATCAGCAGAGATGCCACACTGAGAAAACTGGATGATGCAACAGTCTTACTAGACGCAAAACCCACAGGAAAGCCTGAATCCCTGGTTAGATTTCCCACAAAGCTCAGTGCTAATGTGGAATCTTCTTCTCACTTGGAAACAACTAAAAGGTTTTTTCCTTTTAAACAACCTTTAAATTCTAGCATTCTCTTAAGGCTTCCCCAGACCAGGAAGCAACAGCAGACCAGTGACTAAGTTACAATATTAAGCACTAAAGGTCTAACACCACCAAAGAATGACTGTAAAAGCTGGAAGAGGTGACCATCTCCTCAAATGTGCAGCATCAATGTAAAGACACAAGGATTGTGAAAACTCAGGGAAATATGATACCATCAAAAGAAATCAACAAAGCTCCAGTAATAGACCCCAAATAATTGGGGTCTATCAGACATGTCAGCAACATGTCTGACAGAATTCAGAAAAATCTTCTTAAAGAGTTCAGAGAAGCACAAGAAAGTATAGATTAAAAAATTAAATGAAATTTGAAAAACAATCCAGGAACAAAACGAGAAAATTGACAAAGGAAAAAAATGTAAAAACACACATAAAAATAGAAATCTTAGACATAAAGGATATAATAGCTAAACTGAAAAAGCTCATTATAAAGCCTCAATAGCATGTTTAATCAGAGGAAATAATCAATAGGCTTGAAGACAGGACATATGAAATTACCCATCAGAAAAGAAGAATTAAAAAGGATTATAGGATACCATCAAGCAAACTAACCTTCATATAAGAATTCCTGAAGACGATGAGAAAGAAAAGGGTCGTATTTTAAAAATTATAGCTGAAAGATTTTCAAACTGAAGAAAGCACTCAGGTACAGGAAGCTCAGAGGTCACCAGTCAAATTCAGAGAGGAATTCCCCAAATCATATCATAATAAAATTATCAAAAATCAAAGATAAAGAAGGAATATTCAAACCAGGAAGAGAAAAAAAAGCACACTCAATAGAGCTCCAACATAGCTTGCAGTAGATCTCTTAGCAGAAACTTTGCAGACTAGGAGAGAGTGAGATATATATTCAAAGTGTTGAGAAAAAGAAACTGTCAGCTAAGAATACTGTACCCAACAAAGCTATCTTTCAAACATGAGGAACAGATAAAGACATTCCCAGACCAGGAGAAAAAAAAAGACCCTGAGGGAATTAATCAACATGAGGTTTTTCATACAAGAAATGCTAATGGGAGTCCAGCAGTCTGAAAGAGAAGAATGTTAACATATAACAAGAAAACATCTGACGGTATAAAACTCACTGGTAAAAGTAAGAATAGAAATTCAGAATAATACTGTAATTATGGTATATAAACTGATAATATCTTATTTATGAAGACTAAAACTTATTAAAGATAATAATAACTACAACAATTGGTTGAAAGGCAATATAAAGAGATGTAAACCAAAACATCAAAAAGTCAAAACATGGAGGGGGAATGATGTTAAAGTATAGTGTGTTTTGTTGCTTTGCTTTCCTTTGCAATCAAAGCTAAGTTCTTTTCAGTTTAAAATAACTTATTATAACTATAAAATGTTTTATGTAAGCCTCATAGTAACCACAAAGAAAGAAATCTATAATAGAGCCACTGACAATAAATAGCACAGAATTAATAGCACAGAATTAAAACATACTAGTAGAGAAAATTACTTAACCACAGAGGAAGACAGTATGAGAGGAAGAAAATAAAAAAATTACCAGAAAAATGCAAAAAAAAAACACTTAAAAGAATGGCAACAGAAAACATGTTCCTATCAATAATAACCTTGAATGTAAATGGATTATATTCTCCAATTAAAAGACATAGAGTAGGGCAGGTACGATGGCCCAATGCCTGTAATCCCAGTACTTTGGGAGGCTGAGGCAGTTGGATCACTTGAGGCCAGGAGTTTGAGACCAGCCTGGCCAACACGGTGAAACTCTATCTCTACTAAAAATACAAAAATTAGCCAGCATGGTGGCACACACCTGTAATCCCAGCTATTCAGGTAGCTGAGACACAAAAATCACTTGAACCCAGAAGGTGGAGGTTGCAGTGAGCCAAGATCATGCCACTGCACTCCAGCCTGGGCAACAGAGTGAGACTCTGTCTCAAAAAAAAAACAAGACAGAGTAGCTAAATGAATTTTTTTAAAGAAAAACGGGACCTAACTACATGCTGTCTATAAGAAACTACACCTCTGGAGATATGTGCAGACTGAAATCAAAGGAACGGGAAAAGATATTCCATGCAAATGGAAACCAAAAAGATCAGGAGTAGCTGTACTTATATCATATAAAATACACTCAGGTCAAGAATAGTATACAAACAATAAAGAAAGCTATTATATAAATATAAAGGTGTCAATACAACAGGGGATGTAGTAATTGTAATATATATGAACCCAATACTAAGGTAAAATGTAAAGCAAATATGAATAGACCTGAAGGGAGAGATTGTCTGTAATATAAAAGTAGTAGGGGACTTTAGCACCCCACTTTTAGCAATAGACATATCATCCAGACAGAAAATTAATAAACATGGAGGTTAAACTGTACTTTAGACCAAATGAACCTAACAGACTTTTACAGAACATTCTACCTAACAACTACAAAATACACATTTTTCTCAAAAGTGCATGGAGCATTTGTCCAGACAGATAATATGTGAGGCATAAAACAAGTCTTAATAAATTTAAAGTCAAAATTATATTAAGTATCTTTTCTGACCACAATGGAATAAAACTAGAAATCCATGACAGGAGAATTTGACACAGTGGGCATGGGCATGTGAGAAAAAAGAAGAAAGAAAAAAAAAAAAACAGGAGCAATGCTGGAAACTCTACAAATACACAGAAATTAAACGACATGCTCCTGAATTACTATTAGGTCAAGGAAAAAATTAAGAAGGAAATTGACATTTTTCTTAAGACAACGGAAAATGGAAATACAACATACAAAAATCTATGGAACACAGCAAAAGCAGTTCTAAGAAGGAAGTTTATAGCAATAAATGCTCACATTGAAAAAGTAGAAAAATGTCAAGCAAGATGACTTGATCTCAAGAATTAGAAAAACAAGAACAAACTTAACCCAAAATTAGTAGAAAAAAGAAGTAATAGAATGGAATTAAATGAAATAGAGATTTTTAAAACAATACAAAAGATCAACAAAGCAAAAAAAAAATTTTTTAAATATAAACAAAACAACATGCCTTTAGCTAGACTTACTAAGAGAAGACTCAAATAAATAAAATCAAAGATGATAAAGGAAACATGACAACTGATACCAGAGAAATACAAAGAATCATAACAGACTAGGAACAACTAAATAACAATAGATTAGAAAATCTAGAAGAAATGTATAAATTTCTGAACACATACAACCTTTCAAAATTGAATCATAAACAAATAGAAAACCCGAACAGAACAGTAACAAGATTGATGTAGTAATAAAAACTCTCCCATCAAAGAAAAGTCCAGGACCCAATGGCTTTACTGCTTAATTCTACCAACATTTAAAGAAAAACTAATACCAACTCTACTCAAACTATTTCAAAAAGTTAAGCAGAAGGGAATACTTCCAAACTCATTGTCCAAGGCTAACATTATTCTGATTCCAAAACCAGGCAAGGACTTCAAACCAATACCACTGCAAAAACCCTCAACAATATACTAGCAAATAAAATTCAACAGTATATTGAAAAGATCATTCACCATGATCAAGTGGAATTCATCTCAGGGATGCAAGAATGGTTCAACATACACAAATTAATAAAGATGATACACCAAAGTAAAAAATCAAGGATAAATACCATAAAATCATTTTCACTGATGCTAAAAAAGCTTTTAATGAAATTCAGCCTGCCTTCATGATAAAAATTCTCAACAAATTGGACATAGAGGAAACATACTTCAACACAATAAAGGCCATAATGACAAACCCACAGCTAACATCATAGTGAACAAAGAAAAGTTGAAAACTTTTTCTCTAAGATTTGAAGGAAGATAAGGATACCCACATTTACCTCATAATTTCAACATAGTATTGAAAGTTCTAGCCACAGCAGTTATGCAAGAGAAAGAAATAGATGGCATCCAAACTGGAAAGAAGGAAGTCAAATTTTCCCTGTTGGTAGACAACATAACCATATATATAGAAAACCTAAAAGACTCCACCAAAAACTGTTAGAACTAATAAATAAATTTAGAAAAGTTGCAGGATACAAAACCAACTTAGAAAAATCAGTAACATTTCTGTATTTCAATAACAAACTAACTAGAAAAATATCGAGAGCGCAATTCTGCTTACAATAGCTCCAAGAAAAAAAAATACCTAGGAAAAAACTTAATAAAGGAGTTAAATGAGCTCTGCAATAAAACCTATAGAACACTGATTAAAGAAATTGAAGAGGACACAAATAAATGGAAAAGATTCCATGTTCATGAATTCAAAGAATTAAAATATGAAAATGTTTAAATTACCCAAAACAACATAAAGATTTAATGCAATTCCCATCAAAATACTAATGGCATTCTTCACAGAACTAGAAAAAGAAAATCCATATGGAAATCCAAAAGACCCCAGAAAGCCAAGCAATTTTGAACAGAAAGAACAAAGCTGGAGGCATTTCACTACCTGATTTCAAAATGTACTATAAAATTGCAGTAACCAAAACCACAGGGTACTGGTATAAAAACAGACACATAGACCAATATAATAGAATGGAGAACACAGAAATAAATTCATGTCTTTACATTCAACTGATTTTCAACAAAAACATCATGAACATGCATTGGAGAAAAGACACTCTCTTCAATAAATGAGGGTAGGAAAACTATACATCCACACGTAAAAGAGTTAAACTAGACCCCATGTCTCACCATAAACAAAAATCAACTCTAAGTTGGTTAAAGACTTAAACATAAAACCCCAAATTATGAAAGTACTAGAAGAAAACATAGGGAAAACACTTCAAGACATTGGCTTAGGCAAAAGTTTTATGGCTAAGACCTCAAAAGCATAGTCAGAAAAACCAAAATAGACAAATGGAACTATATTTAACTAAAAATTTCTGCAAAGTAAACAACCAACAAAGTGAAGAGACAACCTGCTTGAGTGCAACAAAATATTTGCAAACTATTCATCCAACAAATGACTAATATCCTAATATATAAGTAACCCAAACAACTCAATAGCCAACACACACACACACACACACACACACACACACAATCCAAATTAAAATTTCAAAAATAAGCAAAATAGGCCGGGCGCGGTGGCTCAAGCCTGTAATCCCAGCACTTTGGAAGGCCGAGGTGGGTGGATCACGAGGTCAGGAGATCGAGACCATCCTGGCTAACACGGTGAAACCCCGTCTCTACCAAAAATACAAAAAACTAGCCAGGCGTGGTGGCGGGCGCCTGTAGTCCCAGCTACTTGGAGGCTGAGGCGGGAGAATGGCATGAACCTGGAAGGTGGAGCTTGCAGTGAGCCGAGATCGGGCCACTGCACTCCAGCCTGGGCCACACAGCGAGACTCCGTCTCAAAAAAAAAAAAAAAAAAAAAAAAAGCAAAATACCTGAATAGATATTTCTCAAAATAAGATATACCAAAGTTCAAGAGATATATGAAAAAATAAATGTTCAACAGGGAAATGCAAATCAAAACCATGGTAAGATATCACTTCACCCCCACTCATACCTGTAAAGCTATTTAAATTTTTAAAAATTAAAATAAAATAAAGATATCACCTTACCCTAGTTAGAATGGCTATTATCAAAAAGACAAAAAATAACAAATGCTGGCAAGGATGTGAAGAATGGAATGCTTGTGCACTGTTGGTGGGAATGAAAATTAATACACCCACTATGAAAAACAGTATGAAGGTTTCTCAAGACATTAAAAATAGATAATAAAAATTACACACAACTAATTTAAAAAATCAATACACTTTAACACAGGAGTAAAAAATTATACAAACTAACCAAAGAGAAAAAGAAGTGCATGAAACAAAACAGAGCTACTAAGAACTGTGGGAGAATATCAAATGGTCTCACATGTATGTGATTGGAATCCCAGCAAACAAAATAATTCAGAAGAAATATTTGAAAAAATAATGCCTAAAGTTACAGTAACCAAAATCACATTACTGGCATAAAAACAGACAGACCAATAGAAGAGAATAGAGAACACAGAAATAAATTCATGCCTTTAGATCCAACTGATTTTCAAGAAAAGCACTACAAACATCCATCGGAGAAGAGACAGTCTCTTCAATAAATAAGGGTAAGAAAACTATAGATCCACATGCTGAAGAATGAAAGAGTTTACCAAATGTAATGACAGCCACCAAATCACAAGTTTAAGAATCTCAGAGAAATCCAGTTAGGATAAATTCCCAAACCCTCATCTGGGCATATTATATTTAAACTGCTGAAAACCAAAAATAAAAAAATTGTGAAGATAGTCAAAGGTGAAAAAAAGACATTGCACACAGAAGGACAAATATTAAGAATTACTGCAGACTCATATTCTGAAACTATGCAAGCTAAAAGACAATGGAATGACATGTTCAAAATGCTGAGAGGAAAAAAAAAGAATTTTATACTCAGCAAAAAAAAAAAAAAAAAACATATTTCAAAATAAAAAATAAAGATGTTCATGCCCCTAAAATGAATGTGAGGATTTATTGTCAGCAGACAAATTCTATAGTAAATTTTAAATAAGGTTCTTCAGGCAGAAGACATTCAATATCAGATACAGACTTGGATCCACACGAAGAAATGAATGGTACTGGAAATAGAATATATACAGGTAAAATTTTTTTATTTGTAATGTTCTAAAACTAGTCATGTATTTACCTTCTTGTTTTTGATTTCCTATTGAATTACACAGATTTAGAAAATTGTAGCTTTATTTTAGTTTCCTTTATGACACTTCACCAAAGGAGACATATAAATGCAAACATAGATCTACATATATAAATGTTCAACATCATTAGTCATTAGTAAAGTGTAATTAACACAACAAAAAGATAATACTACATACTTATTAAAATGGCTACAACTTGAAGTCTGACAATATGAAGTGCTGATGGGGATGCAGAGCAAGTGGAACTCTCATACATTGTTAACAGGTATTTAAAACAGTAAAGAAACTTTGGAAAATACTTTAGCCCTTTAAAATATGAATTAAATAGACACTTACAATAGGATCTAACAACACCACTCCAACAAATTATGCAAATAAAATGAAAACTATGTTCATATGAATATGTTTCTGAATGTTTATATTAGTATTATTGATAAATTTTAAAAAACATATTTTTCAACAGATATATGAACAAAGTGACTATGGAGTACCCATACAATCATATGCCACTCAGCAGTAAAAAATAAACTATTGTTCATAAAACATCATGAGTGCAATAGGTCAATAAAAAAATTAAGAAAAAATTTTTTTAAAATTTTGAAACAAATAAAAATGGATATTCAACATACCAAAACCAATGGGATGCAGCAAAACCAGTACTAAGAGGACATTTTATAGCAATAAATACCTACATCAAAAAAGTAGAGAAAGATTTCCAACAAACAACCTAATGATGCACCTTAAAGAACTATAAAATCAGTAACAACCTAAGCCCAAAACTAGTAGGACAAAAAAATAAAGACTAGAGAAGAAATAAATGAAATTAAGACTAAAAACATGATATCAACAAAATGAAAAGTTGGTTTTTTGAAAACATAAACAAAATTGACAAATGCCTAGCTAAACTAATAAGGAAAAAATATTCAAATAAAAATTTCAAAGATGAAAAAGGAGACATTACAACTGATACGACCAACAATTCAAAGGACAGTAGATACTATTATGAGCAACTATATGCCAATAAGTTGGAAAATCTAGAAGAAATGGAAAAATCCTAGACTGACACAACCTACCAAGATTGAATCATGAAGAAACAGAAAACCTGAACAGACTAATAATGAGAATGAGATAGAAATAGTAAAAGGTTTCCCATCAAAGAAAAGCCCAAGACCTGATGGCTTTACTGCTAAATTAAACCAAAAATTTAAAGAAGAATTAATATCAATTCTGCTCAAACTTTTGAAAATAATTGATGAGAAGGCATTCTCCCTAACTCATTCTGTGAGGCCAGCACTATCTTGATTCCAAAACAAAGACACCACCACCACCACCACAACAAAAAGCTATAGGCCAATATCACTAATAAATATAAAAGCAATAAACCTCAACAAAATACTGGCAAAATACTGGATTCAACAACATATTAAAAAGATGATTCATCATGATTCATTCCCATCAAGTGGGAATCATCCCAAGGATGCAAGGATGGTTCAGTATATGCACATTAATAAATGTAACACACCACATTAACAGAATCAAAGACAAAAACCATAAGATTATTTCAATAGATCCAGAAAAAGCATTTGATAAAATTCACCATCCTTTCATGATAAAAACTCTCAGCAAATTAGACATGGAAGGAGCACACCTCAACACAATAAAGGCCATATACGACAAATTCACAGCTAGCATCATATGCAATGGGGGAAACTGGAAAGCTTTTCCTCTAAGATCTGAAACAAGACATGGATGCCTACTTTTATTTAACATAATATTGAAAAGTCTAGCCAAGCAAATAGGCAAGAGAAAGAAAAGAAAGCATCCAAATTGAAAATAAGGAAATCAAATTGTCCCTGCTTCCAAGGGACATAATCTTATATATCCAAAACCCTACAGACACCACCAAAATACTGTTAGAACTAATAAACAAATTTAGTACAGTTGCAGAAAACAAAATAAACATACTAAAATCTGTAGTGTTTCTCTATGCCAATAGTAAACAACCTAAAAAAAATCAAG